AACAAAGAGCAAAGTCACAAAGCCGGGTGGGAATGGAGGTCCAAGGGAGAGGCGAGGCCGATGCGGTCCCCGGAGGGGGGGAAGGAGGGAGCAGGAGCATCCCTGGGAGCATCCTCGGAAAACCCGCCTGGCTCCTCCCTGCGCGTGAAATAATTATTCCGATTGTCCGCTTCCTCGCCAAGGGGAGGCTCGGAGGGATGCGGAGCGATGCCTTCATCTGGCCCTTGAACGGCGATCCATTAAATTGCTGTCAAGCTGCACGTCTCTCACGTAGGGGCTGGGAAAAGTCAAGTCGTCGCAGGCAGCTGGATGGGCAGAGCCAGGCGGGGGGGGTGGTGATGGGGTGGTGGAGATGCTCCAGGAGGAAGCATCCTTCCTCTTCCCCCGGCTCAGAGGATGATGGCATGTGAAAATACGCCAGGGATGTGCGTGCAAAAGCAGAGCTCAGGCGTCGGCGGGGCGATGCCGGTTGCACACGCGTGTGCGCGATGCGAAGGTGTCGGGGAATTGCAGCGGGGAAGGAGCTGGAAAAGGGGAATGTGAGAGTGATGTAGAACATGTGGCGTGGGGGAACACTTCTAACGAGGAGACAGTAAAATGCCTGAAGTGGGGAGATGACTATTTTGCCTAAGCTTTTATAGAAGCAAATTCCCTTCCCTCTTTGTTTGTTTTTTTTCCTTCCTCCCACTCCGGTGAAGCATGAGAGCGCATCAGCGCTGACTTTCTAGCAGAGAGAAGGCAGGAGTGACGAGCTGCTTCTCAATATCCTGATTGAGCCTTCCGAAAGTCATCCCTGACCTTGACTTACCTGGATAGATGTAGATAACGAGTAATGAATATGCATTGAAATCCCTGCTAGCTTTCCAGCGGCGGTGAAAAGAAATGATGAATTGGGTCTTTGTGAAGCACCAGGAGCAAAACACTGGTTTTTGTTTCATGCCTCCTGCAAAGTTTGCCCGGAGGCTTTTTGTGATTTAGCTAGGTTTGGGCTCAGGTTCCTGACCAAAAGTTGCCCTGGTATCTTAGGAAGTTCTTCCCAGGTCTGTAACCAGATGCTTTTTCACAGGTCCAAGGGGAACCTGGATCTTTCCTTTGGCAGCACACCGAATTGAGGAGAGATTCCTCAAATACAGGTGTTTTAACTCCTGCAGCACCCTTTGGAGGTGATGTGTGTGCACCCACACAGCACCAGCTCTGAGACTGTCTCAGCTGTCTGGAGCCAAAGGGACATGAACAGTACCCATCATTGTCACCGTCCTCTGAGAGCTATTATTTTAATGGCCCCAAATCCTCTTGGCTCTGCTCTTTGATATCCTTTCTGGCCGGTATGTAAAGGATGAGTTTCTTCATTCAGGTATTATTCTTTCCCCCCTCCTTTTATTTAATATGTTTGGGGTTTTTTTTTGGGAAAAAAAAGGACTTGCGCCCATAGGTTGGATGGGGATGTGAGATTGTTAGAGAGAAAAAAGTAATTTTTTTCTGATTATGTTGCCTAGCTGCCTTGGTACCTCAGCATGCAAAATCAGCGCTTGCTGCCAAAATCAGTGGGAGCAGGCCCGGGCTTTTGAAATGTGGCACCAGGGATGCAGGTTGCACAAAGGGAGTGAGCATAAGGGCAGCAGCAGCCTGAGGAATGTGGAATATTTGGGGAAAAAAAAAAATCTCTTTTGGGTAGTTTTCTCATCTCTTGTCTGCTGAGTCTGCTTTGGTGCCACAGCCAAGCAGATGATGGGAGGCTCTGCACTTCAGAGCACCAGTGCTGCAACTCTTCATTGTAGCCTTATTTCAGAAATCCCATGTGCTTTGCACGTGCTCTGTGTACCTCTTGGTTTGTTTACCCTTCCCACATCCCTGCTGAGAAAAATCTACCCCAACCCACCACCCCATCTCCATCCTGGGGGACCCCTTTGTATCCCCAAATCTCCCTGTCTCCATCCTGGGGGACCATCCCCAAATCTCCCTGTCTCCATTCTGGGGGACCCCCTTGCATCTCCAAATCTCTCTGTCTCCATCCTGTGGGACCCCTTCGCATCCCCGTATCTCCCTGTCTCTGTCCTCGGGGACCCCTTCGCATCCCCAAATCTCCCTGTCTCTGTCCTCGGGGACCCCTTTGCATCCCCAAATCTCCCTGTCTCCATTCTGGGGGACCCCCTTGCATCCCCAAATCCGTCTGTCTCCATCCCGGGGACCCTCTCACATCCCCACATCGCTCCACCGACGTCTCCTGGTCCCACCTGCGGGCAGCTGGGACGGGAGCTCTCCACCCAGACCGTAATTAAGCGGCGTTTTTATGGCTCTTCCAACAGCCACCCCCTCCCTGCCTTCGCTT